CAATTAAAGTTGGCACGAAATACGGCATATCTGTGAAGTTTCAAGAGTGTGCCACCAAATTAAAAAAACAATGGTAGCTTGCAGAATATTTGTCGCAGCTATTTTGTAATGTTTGAAATTTTGATTTTTTCATTTTAAAAGTTTAAGATACTTCAAAACGCTAACATTAAACGGTGAAACTGTCCTCTTTGCCAAAATATACCAATCTACCAAATGAAAAAAATCCTATATATTGGCACACTCGAAATTAATTCTGAAATTGTTATACACATGAAGAAATAAATTAATATATATGTATATGGGGCGTTCCATACCAAAACGCAAACAAATATAAAATTTGAGCTTGANCAAAATTTTTATTGGCACACTCGAAATTAATTCTGAAATTGTTATATACATGAAGAAATAAATTAATATATATGTATATGGGGCGTTCCATACCAAAACGCAAACAAATATAAAATTTGAGCTTGATTAATACATTTCTAAAAACTTTACAGCACAACAACAAATCGATTTAATAGTTTTCCAAATATCTCAAGAACGGGGCGAGGAAAAGATTGAAACAAAATCACACATACACACATCAAAATTCTCTATGAAAAGGAATATTTTCTATTTTTTCTTGAACANAGGGCGAGGAAAAGATTTGAAACAAAATCACACATACACACATCAAAATTCTCTATGAAAAGGAATNAACGCAAACAAATATAAAATTTGAGCTTGATTAATACATTTCTAAAAACTTTACAGCACAACAACAAATCGATTTAATAGTTTTCCAAATATCTCAAGAACGGGGCGAGGAAAAGATTGAAACAAAATCACACATACACACATCAAAATTCTCTATGAAAAGGAATATTTTCTATTTTTTCTTGAACATTTTTTTACATACAAAATTTTTGATAGAAAAAAAAATTGTTTTTGAAAATATGTCATCTCAAAAAATTGAAAAAAATCACAATGGTAGCTCTGAGTATTGCGCAATATTTAAGTATAGTATTATGGGGTGCACTCTACAATAATTTGAGTTAGGAATTTTTTTTTACATCGAAGTTCAGTAAAATGAGTATCTACATTACAAATTTACAGATTTTTTAAATTTATTCTAGAATTTTCTTGAGTATGCAGTCTTGTAGCCCATTAAATTTTAGTATAATAAATTGCAAGTTTTAAGCTACTGCAAAAATTGTGTTGATTTTTAATATTTTTTATGCCGTTTTCAAAGAAAAAAAAAAAATGAACGCTAGTTTTGCAATCTCTTATTTTTTTTACTAGGACGTATAAGATACCGAATTGCCGTCTTCCCCTAATGAGCGGTCTTTCTCTACAGCGCTCTGACAGGGTGAAATACTTGGGCTAGGTCCTTGACAGTAGGCTTTCCTGGAAGTCTAACGTAAAGGAAGTAGTCAAGAATGCCTAATTCATAGGATTTATCAAATTATAGTNATTAGTATAATAAATTGCAAGTTTTAAGCTACTGCAAAAATTGTGTTGATTTTTAATATTTTTTATGCCGTTTTCAAAGAAAAAAAAAATGAACGCTAGTTTTGCAATCTCTTATTTTTTTTACTAGGACGTATAAGATACCGAATTGCCGTCTTCCCCTAGTGAGCGGTCTTTCTCTACGGCGCTCTGACAGGGTGAAATACTTGGGCTAGGTCCTTGACAGTAGGCTTTCCTGGAAGTCTAACGCAAAGGAAGTAGTCAAGAATGCCTAATTCATAGGATTTATCAAATTATAGTTAAGAGAATTTTATTTTATGGGGTACTCGTCAGGGGGAACGAACAAAGAGCCGCCTTAATTGGAATCAGTGGGGCACTTAATGCCATGCTAAATGTTGCGCCCATAGATATAGCCAGCAGGGCCGCCACGGCGCGCGCCGAAGTAAGGCTAAGTGGGGTGGCCCTTAAGTTCGCCTCGAGCTATGGATCCTCCAGTATTCTAAATGGCTTCGGGTTTTTACCAACTCGGCAAACCACTGTACGCCGGGTCCGGGTTGGAATGTATCCTTCACCATCCACATTCCAGCGAAAGAGGACCGGGAACGGTGCAGCATCTGGAATCGTGGTCCTGCAAACTTATTTACAGATTGATCGAGACAGAATGGGATGGTAGGTGGAGGTGCTTGCTACGAAGAACTCTCCCTCAGGCTGAAATAAAGGCTATCGCATCGCAGTAGCGTCCGCAATAAAAGTGGCTTCAGATTGGTTGCTCACACCTTTTAAGGATGTGAGTATTTATTCCGACAGCCAAGCGGCTTTCAAGGCTCTTGGATCCTTGATGGTGCGTTCGTGAACGGTCAAGGATTGTTTGACTTCCTAATCGACTGCATCGGATTACTTCGCTATTAAGCTTATTTGAGTTTCGGATCACAGCGAAATCGCTGACCGATGACCTGGCAAGACAAGGAAGGGAACTCTTGAGGACGTACTTCTGGATACAGAAGCTCTGCGGTGGGTACAGGGTGTTTTTCAATTAAATTCTGAAATAGGGCGTTCTTGAAAAGTTTTTTGAGATAGAGCGTTTTCGAACTGGCTGCCGAGATAGGTCGATCTTCCACTCAGCCATCGATATGTTAGCACAACTGTTTTTAGAAGTTTTCCCGCATTTTTTATAAAATTTTTGATTATTGTGTTGTTCGGATCGGGTTTTAGACTTTTCACAAGCTTCACAGAGGCATCCTGCTCTAACGATTTTGATGAAATTTTGTACACAGATAATATTTTGGAGAAGACTCGTATAAGGTTGCCACCTATTTGAAATTAGTTAGAAATTAAATAAAACATCATAATATGGGTATCAAATGGAAGGTATTTTAAAGATCCCTAATTCAAAAATATTTTAATAGGGTTGCCAACTATTTTGAACCGCATATTTATTTAATTTTTTGTTTAGAAAAAAGTAAAATATTACTATTTATGGGTACCAAAAGAAGGTTCTTAAACAATGCTTTCCCTATATAAAAAATGTTATCTCTTAGGAAAATATTGTAAGGTTGCCACTAGTTTTCGATTCTCCACAATTCATCTAAAACATCGCAATATGGATATCAAATGAAAGGTATTGTTTAGAGCTTTGATCAGAAAAAAATTTCCATCAGGGTTGCCACGCTTTTATGTAATACAAGTTTTTATTTTGTTAATTTCAATCAGCATTGTTTTGCACGTTACATATACGCTCAAGATGTGTACCACTAATTCCAGCGTCTTTCGGAATAGGGTTGCCACCTAAATTTTGGAGTAAGAAATTTTCTTTATTTCCAAAATATTTTTTAAAGCTATCCAAATGTTGAAAACTTTTATATGCAGTCCGAGCAAAGCTCGGTCAACCTGGTGGAGGTGGCGTAAATTATGCATACTTAACTAAAAAATATTTCTTTTTTTTTTATTATAACACTAGCAGCAAAAATATGGTACGCACTTCTTGTAGTTTATTTTGGCGGTCGCAAATGCTGAGGTCGCAAATCGAATCTAAGCCACGCCTTTTAGGCAACAAAAAAATTACTTTTTAAAAATCTAAAAAAAAAAACACTTTTACATGTTCTCGGCTTTTCGAAACAAAAACCCCATTAAGTAGAATGTCCAAACAAGCGATTTGCGCATAGTCAAAAATACTATAAAAATGCTATAAAACATCCAATGCTTCAATGCAATATCGCATTTCCTTTCATGGATAGTGCAAGTATAAAAATTTTTGAATTTCGATTTTTATGACTTTTCGGTATGTTTACACATATGTATGAAAAGTATGGTTTTTACGTAACTTGGCCACTTGAGACAATTCATGTACGCGTGACGCCATCAATGGCATGCCAGCAGTCTAGTCAACCCTAAGCACAAGTGTATGCAAAGTAACTTTTTACGACTTTTCACTATGAAAACTCTACGCCCACCTTATTGCAAATCGCTAACAAGTGCATTTAAATGTACGTAGAATATACTTACGCATACATACATATGTACATATATATACATATTTAAACATAAGTATACATATAAAATTTTACAAAAATCCTACACAAAATGTTTGCCTATTAAATGGGAAAATTTCTTTCTCACACTTTTTACTGCTTTCATGATTTTACTTACTTGCGCTGCTTGAACTCCTTCACCTATGCACATTCATATTTTCTTTAAATTTTTTTTTTTGTTACGCTTGAATAGCCTTGACGTCGCGGTCACGTCGCCTACTGCTGGCGATTTTAAATTTTGTAATTCAATGCCTCATAATATTTTATGTGTTTTTGATGAGCGTAAGAATTTTATGAAATGAAAGTGAGAGTGAGGGACTCTAAGTGTATGTATGTATTTGTGTATGCACTAACATGTCTTAGTTTTTCAATTTTCATACCAAATTTGTTGCACATTTGAAATATTTTCACTATTTGCGTCACTTCCATGGAGGCGTAGTATTTTCAGTAAATGCTGTAACAAATTTTAAATTAAATTCACTAGTTTCGGTTATTATTAATTTCACTTTTTATAGGCGTGTACAATTTATTAATAGCTAAAAATTAATTGATTCTGCTACAAAGGTTGCTGTTTGTCGCGATGATTGTTGAGCATTTGAGCAAAAAAAAAAAAAAAAAACTGAGGGCTTGTAGAAGGGAAGCTTAAAAGAAAAAAATTCACAAAGGAAGAACTAGCTACATATTTAGTCAAGGCGAATTTACACAAGGCGAATTTAGATTTTCGCCGCGGTCATTCTTAATGTCAAAATGATTCGTTTGTTGTAATATGAATTCGCCCTGTTTACAACAAACACATAATTTTGACATTCAAAAGGACCGCGGCGAAGATCTAAATTGGCCAGCAACACTACATTGTTTAAATTCGCCTTGATATTTAGTTTAAATTTTTTTTCAACGAGATTAATTTTGGTTTGCCTTTTTATAGCCCATTCCATTCTAGTATGTATAATAAAATGCAAGTTTACANGGAGTGCATTTTCATCGATATAATGAATGTTGACGAGCATTACAGTTGCATACCCTTAACTTATAGTTTGTTTGCTCGTTTGCCGGGGTCGTCATCAAAGGACAAGGATCTCATTCGAGGCAAGTCAGAATTTTTCAATCGACGTTTGTTTAATGTGGTGGTTTCCGAACACAGTCCACTACTAGAACGCGTTCAACCCTTCAAGGAAAAGGAGTGTGTATACAACAAATCTTTTGTTAGCAGTACTTGTATCCTAATCCACTTGACCAGCCTCTCAAAAAAAAAAATATATTATATTTTACTTATGTATGTATACAACCAATTCACTTGACATGAATGAATGAATGCGCGAGAAAATTGTTATCAAAAAATATGAAACCAGTAGAATTAATTGGTTAATTTACTACTTGATAACGATGCTGATAATGGTATTTATGAATATTTACATTTAATAATCTTGGCTATTAGTAAGACAGCAACCGGCCGCAGGCACTTGAGCTACACATATGTACCCACATACATACATACATATATACTAAACTGCAAAGGCTTTGTGCTATAAAGTCGCAGCATATCAGTTGTATGTAAATGAAAAGGATTTCTGAGCTGTTGAAGTGTTGTGGAGTGCACTTGTACACAAATTGATAAGAGGAAAATAACCGGGCATACAAGTATCAGAGCTCATACATACTTATGTATTTAAATTTAAAATGCATTCATTCACATATGCACAGAAAATATGGCGTGAATCATTTATGAAATATGATTTTTTTTCACTTAGTCACAGCTTTTAAGAAAAATTAATAAAATTTACAAATCCGGTATCGAGTTTAAAATTTTTTGTAGGAGTGTACCTGAAAATTAATCCATAGAACAAATATTTACCAATAAAGAGAAACTCAACCATATGACGTAAAAAAAAATTCATATCATATTTATGCAATATTTTCGAACATTTTGTGTACAGTACGTTCTTCCTCCTATTTGCTTTCGAAACCGAAACGAGTAAACAAATGAATATGTACAGCGTGGTAAACAAATCTTATTTTCGTACATACGTACATATTTCATTAAAATGTCCTTGAATGATCAGATATGTACATTAGGGTGCATTACTCTCTATACAAAAAAAAATGATAATAATAAAACAAATAGGTACTGTCTTATATATTAAGACATTTTATAAAAATACCTCAAAATACCTTCATTCCGTTGATAAAATATTCAAGCATTTTTATGCAAAACTTTAAACCTTAATTTCTTCTATCTGAGGTGATTTTTTTAAAAAAAAATTTAAAAACTAACCATTTATAAAAATATCGACTTTTGGAGGAATTTTCAATTTGGCCTAGCTCACTTAAATCTTAATATCTTTTCGTAATATTTTGGCAGCAGTTTTCAAATATAACAGATTTTACAATGCCGTTGGAAAACCGCGCCTCTTTTTGTAAGGCATCCTAATGTAAGTACATACAAACATACGTAGAATGCCAAGCGATACTTAAGAAATCAGCCGGTGACAAAGTTGACTGACAGCAACTACGGTGATCCTTTCAACACGTGCCGTGCAGGATGTTTCATGAAAACAAATTTGCTTAGCCGCTAAAGGCATTGAGCAACAACAACTACAACCACAACAATAGAGAATGTCTCTATTTACCTGCATTTGCGGTCTGCGAAGTGTTGCCAAAATATTTTTCTGTTCGATCCCTTTTATATTTGCTTGTTGTTTGTTTGTAATTCTCGACATATTGAAAGGAATAAACAACAAATGGCAGACATGCTCCTACGAGTAAATAGGTACACACGTACATAAATAACTAAGGGAAAGTAGAAAAGAGGGCAGCGCTCATCGTAACGTCTGGAAGAGATTTTACCCGAAAGCATGGCAAATGGATTTTTTTGGTAACCAATTATGTCACACATGCATGCATACATATTTATATGTATCAGAATTGATGATCTATTGATAAGATTTTAGTAAACAATTTTGTATTAGGCCAGGATAGGTTAGTTTTAAATGCTCTGTCGACATCTTTCTTTACAGATACTCCATGATTGATACGATACTCCTAAGATGGGTGCTACGAAACACTTTCGATGGTTTGAGGTCAAGAATGATAGAATACATCGTGGCTTGAGGTCACTCCGTACAAACAACTTGATTGACGCTGTAAAATTCGCCTCTCACTTTTTTCCTTCTGTAAGATTTTACACAGCTTTTCATGCTCCATCCTTCTCATTCGCCGATGGGTGGCAAATAGAAAATCCTCGAACTTAATAGCGTCACTAGTGATTCGCGGATAAAGAAATTGCATATATCTATTTTTCGGCGCAAGGAAGCGTAATATCTTTCTAATTTTTCTTTAGAAATCCATTGATTCTTTGTAGGCTCCCACATGCAGTGAAAAATCACAGTCACACATTCTGCTCTCCCTTCCATTATTAAGTACTTTTTTCTTGTAAGAGCCCTCCGAGCATTCATTTAAAATCCCTTTTTCGCTTTGAATCGGGAAAAAATACTCAAAATCGAACTTATTTGAAATTATTATGTACTTTAAGTAAAATCATCAAAGCGGCAGTTATTTCTGTCTGTTTCGAAAAACACCTAGAGTTGCATATGTTTTGGCCATGCTTGTGTCAGGTTCAATAGTAAAGGTTAGATATCTTAAGCGATTACTTAACCATTTCCATTTATGAAATTAATGAATTTAAATGAGATTCCTAGCCCTAGTAGTAATTTACCAGAGTGACAACCCTACCTAGGAGTCAGCTTATTACATTTTTCGAAGACGCCTACATTCGGCAGTACATTTTTTTTTTAACAATTCTATTGAAATATTCCAAAACCGCGATAATTTGAACATTCGGTAATCCAAATAGGTATTTTCACAGGATTAGCTACTCAGTAATCAGAATGAACGGAAATATAAGAAACTGTTACGACAAGAAACCCAACTCAGCGAGAGTGTTGCATTTGATCAGACGAAAAATTAATGGAAGGATTTTATTTTTAATTTTTACAAAGTAGTTGCATTAACTTTAATATGCCATTTTATAAGGCTCTTATAACTTAATTTTTTTTTATTAAAAAATTTGATTTCTGTAATAAATTTTCAAATTCTGAAAGTTTCCGATAATATAAATGTTTCGTTAATTCGAATCTACTCTGCATTATTAGTTCGGACTATCGAATTTAGGTTTAATCTTAATGATTTTTTTTGGTGAGATTTAGTTTACTGGTAAGTTAGGCCAGTGACCTAAGCCGAAAACGCCCCTGTGAGAGAACAGTCCTAGAAGCGTTGGATCTTTAAAATGCATTTGACACCGTCAGCCACTCCACTCTACTAGAAGTCATTGGGGCTTCCTTTCTCCCAAAGGACTGAAACGGTGGTCAGCGAATTATCTTAGAGATCGAAATTTGTCAGTCATTTTTAGGGACAAAACCAGCGAACAGAGAAAAAATAGAGAGGGAGCTCCACTGGGTGGTGTCCTTTCCCCGCTGCTGCTAAATTACTACATCTCAAAGCTCCCCCAACCACCAGAGGTAGTCTCAATTGTCTTTTATGCTGACGACTGCACGATAATGGCGTACGGGAATGGGATTAATGGCTTGTGCTCGAAAGTAAAGGGCTAGCTCGCCGAACTTTCTCACTTCTTCACTGCAAGGTGCCTAACCCTCTCCGCTACGAAATCCTCGGTAACCCATTTTAACACCCGGATGACGGAGGTCAGACTGCAGCTAGGCATTTAGGTCGATGGCGGACCAATTCTGATGGTAAATAACCCAAAAATCCCCGGAGTAACATTCAACAGTCTTCCTCTCCTCTCAGTGGACAAAGCTACAGACATGCCAGAACACGGCACTCCAGACCGTGACTGGATGTCTTTTGATGTCATCCCAGCACCACATACATGACGATGCTCAGATGTTTCCCATCAATGAGCATAACACAATGCTCTCCAAGTAGTTCTTAGTAGGGTGTCACCGACATGGGCATCCGAACAACAACCTGCCAAGGCAAGTCAGGAGGCATCTATACGAACTGTCGTACGAAGTCCAGAGGTTCATACCTCTTCACAGAGAGTCGGTCTCGCCTGACATGGACTCCCGACTTGTGAATGCAGTTTTGGCAGAGCTTTGTCTGTCTAGAGCAGTCATGGGCACAGAGAACTTCTACACTAGAAAACAAACAAACAAAAAGTATATAAAGCTTGAAAGAGCTTTGCTTGCGGGCAAGGCGGTGCCCATCGCCGGTCTAGAGAGACTCGCACCATAATAGCCCAACTTCACTCTCGCTACTGCAATAGGATAAACTCGTACCTGAGCCGAGTAAACGCAGATGAGCCCAACGAGTGCCCGACATGCGGAGAGTCACCACATAACTCACGACACCTCTTCGCATGCCACCAAAACCCCACTCATTTAACGCGCTTATCCCGATGAACAAATCCAGTTGGAGTTGCGCACTTCCTCGATCTCTCGTTATTTAGGCTTATACGACAACGATTGATGGACAAGCCGATCTAGGTAGGGCTAAGTAAACCGCTACAACAAAAACAACTACATAGAACTGAAATCAGTAATTTAAAGACCCTTTACCTAAAGGTGAAAAGGTGTCAAGTCCATTTTTTATTTATTTTTTTTT